GTAAAATTTCTCAAATAAAATCTTGATTCGATTTAATAGTGTTCAGTACATTTGTAGACCGTAATGTGGACTGAATTCGTCAACCGATGTGTCGCGAATCGCGTACACTGCCCCACCAATACCCACCCTCAAGTTCGAGTGAAGCATGACATGCTAAAGGAACGACTGTCAAAGTGTTAGGAGCGACAGCTTCGGTGCTGTCAACTTGGAAAAGAGTACTGGATCGAATGACGCACCTATTTGTCATCCTTCTTCTCTTTCTCCTCTTTCTCCTTCTTTTCCTTGAGCTCTTGTCTCTTGCGCTGAGAGGAGAGACCCGCGGCCTGAACGAGTGCTGTGCCCGCCGGGTTATTCATAATATTTTCGTTAACTGCGCGTCTCGCTTTGTCTTGTTCGTCCTTCGAAGGCGGTGGGTTGTCAGCCATACTGCAAGTGACGTTTTAAAGTAATGCTGACGATGCACAATGTGCGAAGTTGGAAATAAGCTTGCAATAAAACTATTTCGAAGAGATGTGAATAAGGTGAATATATAGATAGGTCGCAGACGATGTCAACCTAGCGGGACATTTTCGAGTCGTGCATAGTTATACACGATGCAGGTATTCCTGGACCATGACTAAAAAAGTCTAGCGCTTAACTTCCCGACGTTCCGATTATCTTTTGGACAGAGGATCATGCTGGCAATGCATAACTGCACAGCGTTGATGGCCGATTCGTGCGTATCGTTACAATTCTTCGCCAGGATATACACCCTTCACCTACTAACTGCTCCCGGTATTTCTAACATTTGTCACCAATTTGAGAAATGGGTTATAGAGTGTGAAGGTCTTGAATTGAAAGTGTTTTGATGGGTAAATATTAACCCTTGTCATAGACTATCCTGACATATCCTGACATCTGCTAAAGCGAGAAAATTTGAGCGAGGCGAGCCATTCTGGTTCATCCAAATTCAGGTATTGAAGGTTCAGGTGTCGTCTAGCTCGGTTCTTAGCAGTATGCAATATGTCCCTTTTGAGCACGTGGTCTACCTTTGTGAGGTTGAGACGGCTTATCATGTCGATCGCAGCAAGTCGATAGAACTAGCCTGCCCGATCTACTCCTGAGATAGATGCGTGCTGAAAAAGACAATACAGTCCGTGGATGGTAGGAAGCCAAGCCCGTCCGCACTGAAGCTCCAAGTGCTCCTTCACAGCGGCGAGGAATCGTTCGCTTAGCTCCCATGTACTTTCAGACGTTGCGTCTGCGGCAGGCTTGTCCATGGACTTGAAGGCCTTGTGGACACTTCTCATTCTATGAGCTCGTGCGATGCAACTGATGGCTTTGGCAGCACAGATGGCATTGACGAGGAAGGGAGAGCAAAATGTCGCACGCTCTGGATCGCTTGCTTTCATGTCTGCTACGAAAAGATCTAGTGTGATATACGAAAACAGTGTCGTGTCTTCCCAAGCGAACCAGGCAGTGATCAGCTCCGAGACCACTTCGTCGGTCGCCACACTTGTCCACGGCTGGGCAGGGACCCGGATCGCACTCTTGATGACTTTCTCGTCAGCCTTATCAGAGTCCTGGCCCGGCGTGTCGGACCAAGCGAAAGGCAGTTTATGTTGTCGAAGCTTCTCGATAACACTGAGAGGATCGTCGTGGGATCTGATCATATTGAGTATTGCTTTTGCTTCATCTTCACTCTTCGTCTTCAGGAGTAATACAAGCTCTCTCAAGTCGGTGTTCTCACGCTTCAGATCAACGTTAAAGATCTTCAAGGCGACTTGACGAGAAACACCGGCTCGCAACTCATACTGACAACCGGTGTTCTTCTTCTGGCATCTTGTACACACTGGCCGAATTCCATCGCACTAGCACCCGCCTCACATATTAGAGGCGTCCGTCGTCAAAGCTCGATGGTAACATACCCGCGACTTCCTGGCTTTACAGGGGCCGCACGCCATAGGGTTTCCTATCCTTTTGGGCGGTGCAGACGAGAGTCGAATGCTGGGACCTCGACTTCCATGACCCCCCAAAGCGGGGAGCAATCGAGGGAGGAGTGGAGTAGAAGCATCCTCGCCACCACAGCCATCATCGATTGAGCCACGGGAGCTCATATCGTGTTGTGAAGTCTTGCTAGTGATTTTGACGAGTAGATGAGGGATGCTTAGAAACGTCTAAAGGTAACGAATATTTTTGGCACAATCCATGCGTGAGTATCCTTCACTATTACATAAGATATCAAACACACGATATGAAACACCTAACATGAGAGCTTAGAATGGGACCCCAGGTCTCGTTCCGACTCCCACTTCTGCGCAATCACACTGTGATTGCTTAGCGCTTGTACTCCAATGTCGACCTCCTATTCAAATTTCCAGAATGGTTCGATCTGTAACGCCGGTACATTGGTCTTGACCCCTGATAGACTTCCTCACAGGGCGCACGCAGCATATTATTGCCCGCCGGTGTGCGACAACGCGGCACGGACAGGCTATTGATCTGATTTGGTCATATACGAGATCAAAAGCAAGTCCTCCCGCTCGAGGAGGGTCCCGGAACCTTACCCTCCTTCCCAAATTCCTGGGCCCGATTGCTATGTATACAGATAGCACGAAGGCAGTAGAAACTTGTCGCTGTAGTATTCATACATGTTCTGCTTCTGAGGCGCGGTCATGCTCCCTCCAACTAACATGTGGGTCGAAAAGGATTATCTAAGCTATATATGGTGTAGTGCGATATGCTAGCCCGGGCTAAAGCCGCTCTTGGCAGCAAGTTGTTGCCAAGAGCAGCTCCACCCAGGGCGGTACTTTGTATCACGAACAAGGGAACCGAAATGTGACTTCGTTACAGTACTGAGTAAGTAATTACATCTAACTGTTTCTGTCCCAATGCGAGCAGGGACCAAGTCCCCACATTCGCGGCTGCCTGCCGACCTTGTTTCCTTTGAGGGTCCCGGCGTGTCGAGTGGCTAGTATGTATACCGTGAAAGCTATGACGAGTCAGAATAGGAGATCATTTATCAGGTATGTGATGTGGGCGCGTGCCGGGGCTGCAGTGCCCTCGCGCAACCGCGGAACAGCTCCTGCGTGCAGGTCGTTCGAGGCCTGCC